AGAGAGAGAGAGGTTGTTCGTGTGTTTTGGGGGGAAGATAAAAGACTTGGAGTGATGGCTGATTCAACTACCACCCACTCTTCTTCTCTCTCTACTGCTTCTTCGTCTTCAGCTTTTATTCAAGAAAACCCATCACTGTCTAGGCCTCCTGCTTCACAGGGTCAATCACAGGAGGAAGAGAGAGAAAGTGTGATGGTTTCAACGGCTGCTTCGATGCATAGGTCGGGTTCTCGACCACAGTTGGATTTGAGTGGGGCAGCGATTCAGGGGAATTTTGAGGAGAGGAACCCAATTATTCTTTTGCCAAATCAGTCTGATGATATCTCTTGCATGGCTCTCGACATCGGAGGTTTGTTCTACTATGAAAATGTTAAGGCTTTATGGGGTTTGGGAAGGTTTGTTCTTTATGTGATCCATTGTTCTTTTTTAGCTTTTATTTATTGGAAAGAGAATTGGATTTTGGGTTGGCAGCTGTTGCCTACATTTGTGGTGGTAAGAATTATTATTAACTTGTGGCTTCTGGCTATTCAATTGTAGAAGTTCAGCTATGTGCTGTTGATTTTAAAAGATGGGTTTTCGAATTCTGTATTCTTTGAGACTTTTTTTTTTAAAAAAATTTAATGAATTAATTTTGACTTTTAAAAGAAAATAAAAAATTAGTTAATTCATTTTGAAAATTTATTTTTAAAACCTTTTTGATGTGCTGCTAGTTTCCATTTTGTGCTTGATATCATTTTTACTGCAACTTTTGTTTTTGATGCTGTTCTTCTGGTTAGTCTTTTTCTTTGTGGATCTTGGGTTGGTTGGTATTGTGTTTTTTTGTCGTCACTGGCTTCTTTTTTCACTTCTTTTGTTTCTAAAATGAGTTGTCAATGCATCTGATTTTATTATTTTTATTTAAACTACTGTGTGGGCTTTTGACTTGAACTTGGTTTGACGTTCGGTACCTTTTTCAGGATACTTTTGTAGGTATGAAGCAGGAAAAAGGAGGTGGGTTTTGAGTGTTTGTGGGGATAGGGGAGGGGGGGAATCTGAGATGTTTTCATTTGATCCATCTTCTTTGGGGCTTGTAAGGAAAAACCGCAGTCTGGTTTTGTTTGGTCCTACTTTTTCAGGCTTCTTGCTTTTCCATTTTGACATGATATGGAGTTTGATTCTTTTTTGTTTGTTCCTTCTAAAACTTTAATGTGGGTCTTAGAAACACAAAATTTCACTATGATAACAGAACACTTCGATTATCGCTTATTTTTGCTGTTTCTTTTGTTCAGTTGCTCATTCTTGAATGCCGTTTTGTGATAACAATTTTTCCCACTTGTGTTTCTCTTAGTGTTCCAAAAAACACCAGGCGGCACCTAGGCGATCACGGGTCTTGGCCGCCGAGCGTGCAGATTTCTGGGCGGCCTATGTTGCATAAAAGGGGCAGGGGAATATGAATAATAAATCATAAAATATTAAAATTTTTAAAATCAAATAATCCAAAGTTGCAAACCATTGCAAATTGCTAGCACAACCAAAAACAAAATATAATAATAAATAGTTAATACAAGCACAATCCATAATCCATACTCAATAGACCAAACTCCATGCTCCATAGTCCATACCATTCCATAATCCATAGTTCCATACAACAATACAACCATATATGCATATACATAAGAGTAGAAACTAGAAAATTAAAAAAAGCAAATATACACTTAAAGACTCAAGAGTCATGAGTCCTCCGTCATCATAGGAAAAAGTGGGGTAAGCCTCATCATATGCATCAGAATCGAGTCCATCATCATCAGAGTCGTCCTCGTCCGTTTCTTCTGAATCTGCCTCTTCCTTCTCTTCTTCTACTATGCTCTTGCTCTATGTAGATGTTCTACAGGTCTTAGGAGTGTTGGCTGCTCTACTTGATACCTCTTCACTCTTTTCTTGCTTTTTGTTTTCTTACTGAAAGTCAAATATTGCTTAATCTCCTCCCTAGTAGCTTTAAAAACATTTTTACAAGGGGCAACAGCCCCCTAATACCGGCGAGGTGTTTCTTGAACCGGGAAATACCCCCATTAGTATCATTTCCATTATAATTACACCTTATACAATTTTTGTCATTCGGATTTGGCTATAACCATATGTCTAACCCGGATCACCACTTCTAAAAGAACTCAGATGAGGCATTTCCATATCACAAGGCTCCTTTTCTTCCTTTTTTGGTTTTCCCATTGTAATACCGGCGAAGTGTTTCTTGAGTCGGTTAATGCCCCCATTGGTATCTTTTTCATAAAAATTACACCTTGTACAATTTATGTCATTTGGATTTGGGTTATAATCATACTTTGAATCTGGATCACCAACTTTAGAAGAGCCAGACGAAGACTTATCCAAATGACAAGGATCCTTTATTCTTTTTTGTGTTTTATTGAACTCAAAATATTGCTTAATCTCCTCCCTGATAGCTTCGAGAGCTTTTTCAGAAGGGGCAACATCCCCCTAATAATGGCAAGGTGTTATTTGAACGGTTTTATACCCCATTAGTATCTTTTTTCCAATAATTACATCTTATACAATTTTTGTCATTTGGATTTGGGTTATAACTATACTTCCATTACAGATCACCACTTTTAGATGAACCTGATGAAGACATTGAAATAACAAATAAAATATCAAATATGAAGATTCTTAACTAGCCTCTTTGCTCAATCTTCTATCTTTAAAGTTTGAGATGTTTCCCAATCGTAAATGCTTCCTAAAACCCTTCTAACAAGCTTTATAATCTACAAAATTAAATCCAAACGAACATGTTGATGATTGGATCCATTTTTTTAAAACTTTGAAATGTCCACAAAAATGTAAAAAAGTGGTTTTTTTTTTCAAAAAATTCCCTCCAAAAGGTAACAAAAGGGGTTTAGGTCACACATGAACCTAAACCCCTCCCTTTGGCCCTTTATTTATGGGGGAAAAGGATGAAAATGCCCCTCCATGAGGGTCATATTCGCACTTGGCGACCCACTGCCCAGAAGGGCCGCTTATGCCATTCCCCAGCCCTCCCTGGCCCATCTAGGCACTAGGCGGGCCTCTTTTTAATGACATTGGTTTCTCTAATGAGGAAACTGGGAATCCTAAATGTAGTTCAATATAGATGCAAAGGTAATTTTGGATATGCTTTATTGTCTGAATGTTTACAATGCCTGTTGGCTTCTATCAACTTGTCTTTGGAATGTTGGTTTACAAAGAGGGTGTTACAAACCGGGAATCTGGATTGGAATCGCTCATTCCGGATCTGGAATTGGGGAGACCGGTCCGGCCCCCATATTTATCAGGAACTGCACTGTTCCAGAAAGAACTGGCCGGTTCTCTGACGAAAACGGCCGGTTTAGGAACCGTGCAACTTAATTTTGTTCCCTTTTATTGTTTAGTTCATTTTATTTTCTTCATTTAAAAATTTTAATTTTTTTCAAAACTTTTAATAAAAGAGGGGTGGGCAGGTGGCCGACTCCTCTTTTTCAGCTGCCATAGAGCCACCTCATATCATGATGGGCCCAAGCAACTCCATGAAAACAAATGAAAACAAGTTCCCTATTTTATAAGAGTCGCTTGGTAATGTTGCATACAGCCCCTATGTGGGACTAATGAATCACATCGGGGACATTTAACACAAACATCTCTGTCTCTCTCTCCAAATTCCAAACTTTTTTCCACAAGCTTTTCTCTTTGTCTCTCTCTCTTCAAATGCAAAACATTTTTCCACAAACATCTCTCTCTCCCTCTCTCATCAACTTTAAAGCTTTCTCCTCTCCGCTTCCCTACTTCAAGCTTTTCTTCAAAGAAGCCTTGCAAATATATGTCATAAATGTTTTATTGAATCATTCTTTTGTCATATTATTCATCATCCGCCTTAGACATGGACTTCTTAATTCAATAAATCCTTATTTTATTTTCCCAATCGATTTGGAATCCGAATTTGGTCAAATAAACACTTTATTTATACCTAATAGCTTAGTCCATTATCTCCAAAAGTTTTTTTTCCCTTATATTCTCTTTAATCTTTTTTCCATTTCGAAAAAATATTAATGTTTTTTTTATAATTTTACCATTTTGCTCTCATTTAGTATGCATATTGTTTCTTATGGAGTTTCTATTTGAGTAGAAAATGAATTTGATTACAACAAGCACTGAGACATGAGACATGTTCTCAGTATTCACATAATTTTGTTAAAATAATGGAAAATTATAATAGAATACCACTTCTTTTTTGGAAACCTGAAAAGCTAGATTTTTAATAAATTTAGTTATTTTTTGAAATTTTTTTAAGGCCTTATCTGGCCAATCCACTGATTTGGACAGCCGATCCGCCGATCCGGACCAATTCTTTGGATGAGAGATCCCACTGATCCATTTTTTAAAAATAGATTACTAGTGTTATTTCTTTTCTATATTCCCTTCTTTATGAATGTTGGTTTCGGAGTTGGATTTTATGATTATTAACAAGTTGTTCTTCTTGGTCGTCATCATTTTTTATGTGTTTGGGTACCTTTTCTTTTTCTTGTTCATTGGCATTGAAGATGATTTGTTTTCTTGAATTTTTTTATCATTTTCTTCTTTTTTCTTTGAGATGGGATTTTTTTGTTATTTTGTTTTTATAGTTTTGCCAATAAGAGTTTTGGAAAAGGAAATTCTTGTTTAATTTTATTTTGTTGTTTTTCTTCTCTGTTTCTTTTCTTTAAAGTTTTGACCTCGTCTATGTTTTTTTTGAGAGAAGTTCACTAATAGTAGAATTTACAAAGAGTGGTGACCGAAATGGTCTTTCAAAACAAGCCCAAGAGGGTCCAAAAAAGACAAAACCTGCTGCTAGAATGGAAATAGAAGGCTTCACAACAGCACTGGAGCTTAAAAGGAAAAATTTAGGGTGGTCCCTTCTTTTGCCAATCTATCAGCATCAGAAAAATTTACAGACCTTTTGTCTATGTTGCAACATATACTTGAACTTAAATGTCATATCTGTGTTTGATGTTTCAACAACATATCAGGGGAAAAAGAAAAATGACATGAACTTTTCATGGTTATACTTGGGCTTCATAGCTTTCAATGCATGTAGATGTGTTTTCCGGATTTGAGATTTACTGCCATGGTTCATAGGTATTATCTAACAATAGCAGATATCTTTGAGATGAGTATCCCTTGGTGTGCTTGATCTCTCTCAGAGGTGTGATCTTAATTTCCTGATTTCCTAACTGCTTGAATTGGGATCATACTTGGGTTTCCTTTGTTATTTATCTCTTTGTTTTTGAATTTTAGTTTTGTTTTGGTTCTCTTTTTGTTCATTTATAATATTCCATGGATTTTTTTTTTCATTTCCTTTTTAGAAGATAATACATCATATGTTTTATGAGGTCAGTGGCTTTGGAATATGTTAGTTTGGAGGAGCATATTTTTAGTCATATCATATGAGTAGATATTGGCTTGTTATTGCAGGATCTCTCATTAAGTTGGTCTACTTCTCAAGACACGAGGATAACCCACATAAGGACAAGAGGAAGAAATATATGAAGCAGAGGTTGGAAGTTCCTAATGGCGGTAGGAGGAGCTATCCCATTCTTGGTGGTCGACTCCATTTTGTAAAGTTTGAGACGAGGAAGCTTAATGAGTGTGTGGATTTCATCAAATGCAAGCAGCTTCATCGTGGTGGTATATGAGACTCTGTTGCAGTGTTCATATTCATTTTGAATTTAATTGAATTTCATTGATTTCATAAGGATAGCTATTTTGCTTTTGTAGGCAACAGAACCCCATTGTCAAATTGAAACTGAAATCATACACCAAAAAGTCACAATAGAGAGGCACGTACTGATCTAGAGTCTCCTTATGTTATATACTAGTTCAATCGATCCTTAAGTTAGTAAAGCAGTCCAATACCTGGCAGGCCCACCCCTATGCATGACAGTTGTATTTAATTTCTCAGAATGTAGTTTTGTACTATTTTTGTATACAGAATTGCTTAAACTAATAGGATGGTGACAATTGAAGGTTCAGGAAAAGGGATGTAAAAGAGGAGTTTACTGGATTGGGACAATATTTAAAAACACGGATCGGTGACATGAATCACCCATCCAAAAGACCTGTCCCTATTGGTGGATTGGCTGTCTAGATAGGTGGGTTGGCCGGATCTGGCCTTAAAAGATTTAAAAAAATCACTAAAATTTATTAAAAATATAGCTCTTTAGGTTTCCAAAAAAAAGTGGTATTATATTATGATTTTTCCTTATTTTAAGGAAAATATGTAAATACTGTGAACATGTCTCATGTTTGAGTGTTTGTTGTCCATCACATTCATTTTATAGTGAAACAAAAAGTTTATAAAAAAAATTGAATATTTTTGGGAATGGAGAAAAGATTAAACTATGAGAACAAAATAGTGAATTTATAAGAAAAGATGAATATTTTTGGGAATGCAAAAAGATTGAAGAGAATATATGAAAGGCCTATAGACTCCCCTTGAAATGAAATTCACTTTGAAATGTAGTTGTAGATATGTTCATCATTGACACCCTCATTTGATTTTGATTTGATTTCAAGGAGCAGTCATTCTTTTAAAATCTGCAATACGATCATTAATACATTTGAATCTAAAGATTTTTATGTGATTATACTGATTTGATTTATTTATTTCAATATGGCCTCCATCCATCAGTAGGAAATAAAACGCATTTAAGTAGGCCAAAAAGAATGAGTAAGACATTGTTAATACACGCGTTAGTTACTGGTATGAGTCTATTTTTGAGTGAGAACAGCTGTTAATCTTTGAGCCAATGCCATCATCTTGGGGGGTCTTACGGCCTTTCCTTCTTGACTTCTACAGAGTGTATTAGTATGAAGCTTCGTACCCAGCCGTGATATGAGGAATCCACATGTCATTCAATAATCTGAAAGTTTTAGGGTAGCTATGGTGATCAGGTACTGGAATGAGAGGGGCACATTGTTCCTATTAGATAAGATTTGATACATAATTAATAAATTGACATAATTGCTTCCAAGAAATGAAGTTGCAATTTGATATCCATCTATTCATTTCATGAGGCAAGCGGTGTGAATATGCCACCTTAAATGACTGTTGAATCCATGGAGTCTTGGAGCTTGGGGCCTGAGTGTTGTGGAAGGCAGAGAGTTTAAGGCAAAGCTTGTCGATGTGCATGATAATGGGGGAAGGGGGGGGTTTGTTGTTGTTCTAGTGTTGTAATTTTCTGAGGAAATCAGGCTTTCTCGAAATTCTGTTGCATGCCTCGTACAGTGATGCTGAGTGGATCCACATATCATAAGCATATCATTCCTGCTAAAACTTGATGTGGCCTGGTTCAGTAATTGGATTCAAGTTACGATTTAGCCTAAAAATATTCTGTTTGTAGCTTCTTTTAGTAAACTTGGTTATTTATAGTTTTGCTTCTTTATGTTTCAGCTAATTAGGAGTGTTTTTTTGTGTAAATATTCTGACTTATTTGGTGAAAAGAATATTCCTTTCCATAGTTGACTATTTTTCCTGACTGGTTAGCAAAACAGTAGACCCTACTAATTATTGTTCTATGATAACATATAGGGGAGGAGAATGCATGGAACTCTGGGGCCCTACAAAATGAAAATGTGGTTATTAAGGTAACTCTTGCAGCAATTCCTTCTATAGTTTAGATAAGAAGCGTGTTTATCACTGTTTCAGATACAAATGCCTTGCTTCTGTTCAAGCTAGCGTGGTTAGTTCATATAAGGAGCTTTGATCTCATTTAGATGAGCATTTAGACATTTGCTCAAGGCATTTTGATTCATGGTTGTAGAGTTGTTGAATAGAGGTATTTCTCTTAACAGCTACAACCTGAGAACTGCTGCGTGGGTTAATGGCAACCTGATTTGTGCATTTCAGAACTTCCCATACTTTTTTTCTCTATTAAACATCCAGTGTATAGTTTTTCAAATCAATTTCTTGTATTATTTCAAGGTAGATTACCTGGGAGTCAAAACTTGCACATTTTTTTTTTTTAAAGTATGAACTGTTGTATTAATAAGAAGTACATAAAAGCAAAGAGGAAACTCACAGCCCGGACCTCTTGCCAAAAAAATAAGCTTACCAAGGATGGTACCTCTATACAAAAAATGTGTTTAGAAAGAGAAGACGCCCCTAGACAAATAAACAAGTTTGCAAAGATTCACACATGTGAAAAACCAAAAAGTAGGGGCAAGTGTTGATGCCGTGCACTCCATCTTTAGCTAGGTAGTCTGCTAGGCGTTGGATTCTGCCAAATATACTTCCATAAGATAGCTGTATCCTTGCAAATATGAGTAATCTCATAAAAAATCGTGGCGAGGTACCAGGGACAAGGTGCAAAGCCTGAGGCTCAGGTAATGATGTTTTGAGCATCTTCTTTGATGATCAGGGACTGTCCCCAAGAGAAGTCGTATAGCCTAAGTCCTGATAGGAGGGCCATGGACTCGGCTGGTTGAGAGTCTGCATGGCCGATGTTCCTGGAATCTGATGCTAGAATGTGCCCAAGATGGTCGAAACACTCCTCCCACCTGTGCCGGACCAGGGTTACCGAGCGAGCACCTGTTGAAGTTCAATTTGATCTGGCCTATGGGGGGAGGGGGGGACCAAATGTTTGACTAAGAGCAGTGTGGGTTGCGGGTCCAAAGAAGAGTTTGCCGCTCTTGAAGAAAGGACGTGGAGGGTGTCCCATTGAAGCCCTTGTGGTTTGTGGCCCACAAAATGACTGCAACTGTGATCGTGTGGAAGAGCCAGGACCTCAGTTTTGATGCCTCGAAAGATTCTTGAGTTTCTCTTGATTTAAATGACCCAAGAGTGTAACCTACCGGCTTTGGGCCGGGGGTGGCAAGAGTTAAATGGTAAAGTGCTTGGATGAATGGGGGAGTATACTAGTGCAAACCAAACAGTTGGAGTAAAAGACTCCAAAGGTTGTGGCCAATGCGGCAATGGAGGAAAATTGTGGGTTGCTTTCTTCGTCCAAGAGGCACATAGCACAACAATTGGGGATGGGGACCCCCCTACGCTGAAGGTGATCCACTGTAAGAACTTTTTCGGGAAGGGCTATCCATGCCGAAGCTTGGACTTTTGGGGGAGCGTAAGAGGCCCATGCCTGTAAAACGATGGAGTTCGAGAGTGAGGGAAGGTAGGTGGCTGCATGAGTTTTTTGTAAACAGAGGCAACGAAAAAACAGCCCGAGGGGGATGGCTTTTAAATGATTTTTTGTCAGGCCCAGATAGGGCCAAGAAGGTAGATTGAAGAGGAGAGGGCAGGTTGAGGAAGTCTGTTGTTTCAGAGTTAGAAAGATTTCTAAAAGAGGGGTTCCAAACTCTAAGGGGGCCCGAGGGGGGCATGTTGACCACCACAGATGAAAGCTTGTTGAGGGCCAAGGAGTAGAGGGCAGGGAATAGGTCCATGACGGGGATGTGGGCTGACAAGAGTGTGACTAGAACCTTATACGTTGCCCTTCCTAGGGTGGAAGCGGATGTTTCTATGGAATAGGGTTAGGGAAGATAAATAGGATTTTCAGGCATCGGAAGGTCTGCTAGTGGGCCTGCCAGCGGGTATCCAATCATTGGGAGGAGGGATACGATATTTGCACTGGATAACTTGTGTCCAAAGGAGGTTGTTTTGAGTTGCAAGGCCCCACGACCACTTACCAAGCCAGGCCGTGTTCTACTTCCTCAAAATGCGAACCCCGAGACCTCTTAGGTGTTTCGGCTGACAAACTCTCTCCCAGGAGATAAGGTAGCATTTCTTGGTGGTTGCATCTCCAGCCCACAAAAAATTCCTCATGAGCTGATCGAGGCGGGAGGCCACCGTGGCTGGCATATGAAACAGGAAAATGAGGTAAACGTGGGTTATTGGCTAAGGTGGCCTTAATGAGTGTGGTTTTGCCTGCGAAGGAAAGGAAGCGACCTTTTCAGCCTGCTAAACGGCGATCCACTTTGTCGATGATGTGGGACCACTGCCTCTTTTTTGGTTTTCTTAGGCCCAGTGGCATACCGAGGTAACTAGTTGGTAGGTCATCCACTTTGCATTCCTAGTCAGGGACGAGGGAACGAGTTTGTTTCAGGGTGAGTGCGACTCCGATCAGAGTGGATTTGGACATGTTGACTTTGAAACCCATGGCGAACTCAAAACATTTAAGAAAGATTATGGGGGTTTCGATTTCCTGAGGTGTCACATCGAGGAATACGAGCATGTCATTAGCGTACTGCAAGTGAGAGAAGACATGACCCCTGGGGCTAGTTTTGAAGCTCGAGAGACAGCTCGACTGGTTCAAGCTGGAAATGGACTCGCTGAATACTTTAGCTGAAATGGCGAAGAGAAAGGGGGTCTCCCTGGCGCAATCCCCTCGTAGCCGGGAAAAGGCCCTTGGGGGTGTCACTGATTAGGACAGAGAAGAAGGGTTGGGAGTGACATCCTTTCATCCTTTTCTCCAGCTCCCCCCAAAACCCATGCGAACCATGGTCTCATCCAGGATATCCCAGTCAACGTGATCGTTGGCCTTCTCCTAATTGATCTTGAAGATGAGGCTCGGTAGCATGGTAAGGTGCCTAGAATGGATGCATTCATGTGCTACCCAGACCCCATCCAGAATTTGTCTCTCTTTAATAAAGGCGCTCAATGAGAGGGAGATGACGTGGGGTAAGGCCTCTTTGAGCCGGGAGGCTAACCCTTTGGATAGGATCTTGTAGGTGGAGTTAATGAGACTTGTATAATGAAAGTCCTTAAGCTCTTTAGCCCCTTCAACCTTAAGGACAAAGATGACAAAAGTAGAGTTCATAGGTTTGTGGATGATACCTTGGTGAAATAATTCTTCGAAGCAATTCAGGAAATTAGCTTTGAAGGAATTCCAAAAAACCTTGAAGGGGGCGAGGGGGAACCGTTACGGGCTTGGGGCTTTTTCTTGTTCTAAGTCTGCCGGAGCGGCCAAAATTTCTTTTTCAGAGAAAGGGCGCTCCAGCCAGGTTGCCATATGGCCGGGGAGGGAAAGAAAGTGGAGAGTCGCCATCCTCGGTTTGGGTCTAGAGGGAGCAGTGTAGAGAGTTTTGAAGGAGAGAATGGCATCCTCAACTTCAGAGGGTTGGTTGAGAATTCTACTATCGACCTTGATGGTAGAGATGGAGTTGTGTCGGCAATGACAATTTGCTATTCTGTGGAAAAAACTGGTATTGAGATCTCTGGATTGAAGCCACTTTACTCTAGAGCTTTGGAAATAGAATATCTCTTCTTTTGTGTTGGGTTCTAAGGAGGGATTCGGAATTTGACAGGGGTCGGGTTTCCTCAATTAAGTCTAGGGCTTGGATAGCCTAGAAATGAGGTGTCTTGAGGTGCTTGAAATTCCCAGGGATGGTTATGTTCCAAGATTTGAGGGAACCTTTGAGAAGTTGTAGTTTAGTTTGAAGCTTGTATTTAGCCCTACCCGAGACCAGACGGTAATGTCGAAGTCCAAGTGAAGAGGTTCCCTTGGAGTGGGATATCTCAATGACTTCATTCCTAGAGATGAAATCCAAAAAATCTAGCATTCCTTGAGAAATGTTAGAGCTTGAATTTCTCTCAAAGGACTAGAGGGTAAAGTCGAAGTCCCCCCCCTAAGACCATGAAGGATGGGGGAGGGAAACCAGGTCATGTTCATCCCAAAGGAGGGTTCGGGAAGAGGCTGAGTTGGGGCCGTAAATGGTCGAGAATTTTTAGGAGAAGCAATCCGAGTTCCTGGAGAGAACGGTTACAGAGAAGTTGCCAGAGCAGAAAGAGTTAAGAATGTGTGTGGACCCAAATACCTCTTGAAGCGCCTTCGGCCGAAAGGGAGACCCATTGACATGTTTTGCAGCCCCAAACCAGCCGAACGAGGTGGAGGGAAGGGTGGGGTTGTTTGGTTTTTGTGAGGGCTAAAAATGGAAGGATGTTGCTTGAAGCACAAATCATTGACGACGTTCTGTTTATGGGGTTGGCCTAAATCTTGTACATTCCAAGAGAGGAGTTTCATAAAGAAACAAGGGGAGGAAGGGCGTGAGCCAGTTTTAGTGACCTTCTTAAAAGAAGGCCAGGAGGGAGGGGAGGGGAGAGGGCCACCAAGGTGGAGGATGGGATCTGCTGTCTGTTGTAGTTTATGCCTGAGGCTAAGTTGCGGATGCCCCTTGAGCCTAGGTTCCTTACCTTGAGCCTTGCCTGTGCATCTTCTTGGAGGAAGAGGTGGAAGAGACTCTTGTGGCCGTCCTAGGGTAAACTCATGACACGGAGAACTTCCTTGATGTTGCCTTGGCCTCGGTCAACTCCGTCAACATGGTTAGAGTTTATCGACAAGGAAGGAGGGGGGGGGGGGGAAGAGTGATCGGGGTGAGGGGAGAGGCCGGGGCTAGGAGAGGGGCTGCGGTAACAGTTGCGCCAGGGGAAGGAGGGAGCGTGGGGATTGGGTGGGGGGTGGGGGGGGGGGGGGAGAGGGGGACGGAGGTATAAGAGGAGGTGGGATGCTTTGGGGCAGAAATGGGGGAGGAAGTGCTAAAGTTAAGAGGAGTTGGGGTCGCTAAGGGGTGTGGGGGGGTTAAAGAAGTTAGGGTGGCAAAGAAGACTTGGAGAAGAAGGAAGGGTACAAGAGTGCAAGGGGTGGTGGCCGAGTAGGGGAGGGGGGAAAAATACACAAAGGGAACAGGGAGGGGTGCAAGAAAGGGGAAAGGGCATGGGGGGTGGTGTCGGGAAAGAAGGGGGATGAGTATGAAGAGGAGGGTTGAAGAGATTGGATGTGCCATGGAGCAAGGGTTGGCTGGGAAAGAAAGATGGTGGAGGCAGGAAGGGCGGTGGGGCAGTCCGGGAGGCGAGAAAAGGAAAAGGAGGGGAGGGGAGGGGAGGGGAACAAGGATGAGAGGGATAAGGTTTGGGCGGTATCAGAGTAGGGGAGAGAGGACGGAGGCCAAAAAAGCAGGGTCCGGTGGAGTAGGATCGTCCGATTCCACCATGAGTTGGTGGGGAGTGAGGACCAGTCCATGGGGAGTTGAAGAGATGAAGAGGGCACTGGTGTAGGTCCAATGGGTCAGAGGGGACTGGAGCCAGGGCTTCGAGGGAGAGCAGAGGGAGGGAGGACTCTACCTCGGGGGTCAGAGGAGAGGGGTGTATGAGCTGAGGCGAAGGGTGGGAAGGGGGGCATGGGTGACGACAAGGGGGCCTACAGGCGAGGGGGGAAGAGACTAAGCGGGAGTCGTCAAAGGGGGGGAGAGAGGGGATTGGTGGCGCTTCTTGGAGACGGCGGTCCAGGAGTTGGGGTGATGGGGCTGCACCTTCATCAGAGACGAAGGAGGGAAGAAAATGGGGGAGGGAGGGGATGCAGGCGACCAAGAATCGAAATGCGGTAGAATGAGGCCTCCACCTTGAGCCAGAGAGAAGCGGGGATAAGGCTAAAGTCCAGGACCTCCAAATGCAACTGGATGGACCCGAGGGGAAGGAATTCAATAGATTTCCAGTTAATGGAAACAAAGGAGCCGCAAGCTAGGGCGATTCACATAAAAGTATCAGAAGAGAGAGTGGAAGGGAATGTGGGAGGTGGTAACCTAGACTTTCTGTTCCGGAAGGCACCATTGCCCGCGGACCAATTGCGAAGGGAGAGGGAGGCCCCTTTGAAGACCAGAGGTACAAAGGACCGCAAGGCCCTAAGAGTGCTATCTTCGGAGGGGAAGCTGACGAGGATGGAGCCGTCCGTGGGTTTTCGACAGACGAGCTAAGGCTCCTTCCAATTGTGCTGCTGTTATTTTTCGATTGCACGGAAGTTGTCACGCCGGGGGCATAATGATCCCACCAAGGATGAGCGAAGCTTGGACTGGACGGGGGAGGATACAAGCAGCGGGGATGATGAGAATGAGAGGCAGGTGCGGTGATAGGAGGTGAGGAGGGGGAGGCAGAGGCTGGGAGGTGGGGGTAACCTCGAGGTGTGGGGGATGGGCTTAAAGTTTATTAAGGATATGGGCATACTGGTAATGGATATTAGAGGGAGGCATTGCCCCCTACCAAGCGGGGGGAGGGCCAGGGAACCAATAGAGACAGGGCTCAAAGGGCCTCGATTAGAGGTTCAAGCTTCCTGCACAGTTCTGTTGTGCATTTTTTCCTTTGGTCAAAACTTGCACATTGTGTTTTGAGCCCAAGTAGTCTCTTAGAAGATATTGTTTGTAACCAAATTTTGCTGATTCTTCCATTGGTTAGTATATGTTGGTGCTGATCTATCCATCCTGTGGCAATATTCTTCAATGATCTGTACCATTCTTGAGCAAATCTTAAGTTGATCTTCAAAATTTTGTATACTTTGCATTCGGTTGAAATGGTAACCTACTTCAAACGATATTTATCATTATGTGTTTTCCCTTGTTTTGTGCAATGTTAATTGCTTGTTTTTCTTTCCAACTGATTGAAATATACTTTGGCATGTACAAATGCTCAGCTTCTAACTATTTCTAAAATGATTAATAAGGCAACAGGGGGTGGGGCGTACAAATTTACTGATGTATTTAAGGAAGGACTTGGTGTTACTCTTGACAAGGAAGATGAAATGGATTGCCTTGTAGCTGGAGCAAATTTTTTGCTTAAGGTAGTACAATTATATATTCTGCCTAGTTACATATATATTTTTAAGACATTAGTTATTCACAGTTTCTAAAAATACTGTTAGCACACTTGTATAGCATTTCTTTACCAGAGTTCTCTCTTCTATCATTTCTTGTTGAATTTCTATAGGTTTTGCTGGTTGAGTCTTTTGTCTATATGGATGTCGTGGTTTGCTTGAGTTTAGGTTTTATTTTTTTTGGTAACATTTTTCTGGAATTTTTTGTTGGCTGTCTTTAGTTGCTTGTTTCCCTACATTCTAAGAATTCAATGGTCAGATTTCCTAAGGCCTTTCCGGAAGCAACAGGTTATTGGATCCATTCATGATTAAACTGGACATATTATTAAGCTTAGTGTACATTTGGTTCCTAACTCATGCATAATATTTCAGTTCTTCGTGCAAGCTTTCTGGTTTCTTTGTTAGTTATTTATGAGTTGGGGAAATATAGAGTCGAATTATCATGAAATTGAGTTTAGAGTTTGATTATGGTGATGATTATTTATAACACTGTTTTAGATGGTCTAATTGATTCCAGTCTTTTAAATAAAGGAAATGCAGCCATTATTTAAGATCTTGGCCTTTTAGAGAATGGGATTGCAGCCATTATTTAAGATCCCTGAGATTGTAGAGGGAGTTCATACCTCACATGAGATGAATTTCTTTACTGAAGTCAATTACTTGTTTCGTGGGCTATTTGAGAGGGACTTGAGTTTTAGGACCAACTCAGCCCCAGATTCGGATTAGGTCATTGCTGCATTAAGATATTACTTGGACTTGGTGATTCTGTTTGCTTTTAAAATGAAGTAAAATACGGAAAACGTGAAAAGAAAAATGTTAAAAACTAGCGTAGTTCTAACTCGTTCCAACCAAAGACAACACCTTCCTTTTTGAAAGGTGTGGCTATGTCGAATTTTAAGATATCATCGTCATCCAAGCCTTATCCCGGGGGTCGGCTATGTAGAATTCTAAGGTATGAATTCAAAAAAATCTTTATTAATAACTGGAATTTCTGCTTACAAGTGTCACAATACAATGTATAATTAGAAAATAAGCCTACTACAATCTAGGATCTTTGACTTTTACTGCCAATCAAAACCATATTCATAATACTGAATACAAACTTTAAATATGAATCCAAAAACAATTAGGAAATCTAATCTCAGCTGGAGTAGTAGTCCAGGTAGGAATCCTAAACTAAATAGGTCTCCTAATACATTAAGGACTTCTAAAACAAATATGCATCAAGCGTTGAAGTAAAACTGATAAATAAAACTAGGAAGACTTACTGAATCTTTGCTTAAGGTTACTACCCGTGAGATTCAACATGCCGCATTCCTAATTACCGGACCCATGACACACTCAATCCTTAGGTCCTGTGAATCCTCTGAACTTGGGAAGCACCTCTGGATTACCCTCTATCTGATTTATTAGGCCAAGAGCATGGAATAGGCTTGGGTTTCGCTTAACCTTGTACTTTGGGGAGTTAATTACTTACAGACCTTAAAAAAGTGAGAAAAATACATGACGCTCTCCTTTTAGCCAAAAATTACCAAAAAGGTTAGTCAACGCGAGCCTTTTTTTTCTAAGTTTGCCCCTGCGGTCCGAGGTTAAAATTCTCGGACTGCTTTTTTTTTTCAGAACTTAAAGTTGCGGTCTGAGGTTGAAAGTATCGAACTATTTCAATAACTTAAGTTGCGGTCCGAGACTCAAATTCTCGGGCTGCTTCCGTTTTTCAAAAACTTAAGTTGCGGTCCGAGGTTCTAATTCTCGGACCGCTTTTTTTTTTTTCAAAAGTTAAGTTGTGGTCTGAGGTTTAAATTCTTGGGCCGATTTAAAAACTTCAGTTGCGACAAATCTAAGCCTTATTCTCACTCAGGGAAGAGCTCCGAGAATTTGACATGCATATACATCCATGTACATCCAAAGAATGACATGCATACATCCACGTACATACAAATCTAAGCCTTATTCAAATTACCAGAAAGAATGACATGCATTCCATTTGTGAGAACATACATGGCATAAGGTTTGAAAAAAAAAAGCGGTCCGAGAATTTGAACCTCAGGCTGAAACTAAAGTTTTTGAAAAAATGAAGCGAACTGAGAGTTTAAACCTCGGATTGCAACTTAAGTTTTTGAAAAAATAAAGCGGTCTAACCTCGGACTGCAACTTAAATTTTTGCAAAAAAAAAGCGGTCTGAGAATTTGAACCTCGAACTGCAACTTAAGTTTTGAAAAAACAAAGTGGTCCGAGAATTTCAACCTCGGACCGCAACTTGAGTTTTGAAAAAGTAAAGCGGTCCAATAATTTCAACCTCGGACTGCAACTTAATGAAGCAGTCTGAGAATTTCAACCTCGGACCGAAGGGGTATAATTGGGGAAAACTAAAAACCCGCATGTTGATTGACCTTTCTAATAAGTTTTGGCTAAAAAGGGAGCATCTTGTATTTTCTGTATTTTTTTAGGATCCGTACAAATTAACTCTATTTTGGGTCATGCCACAAAGGCACCTATGCTGACCTCAAGGCAGCATATGAGTAGGGCGTACCCCCTAACTTGGCTAGACTGGGTGGTGCGAGCCACCCTTTATGGCTCTGCCTATTAGGTTGGGCGTACCTGCCCTAGAGAGAGAGGAGAGAGAGAACTAGAGAGGGGTGTGCATAAGAGAGAGAGAGGGAGAGGTTTGGTCATAGTGTGATGGGAATGAGGGGATGAGCCGTCCACCCTTGCGTATTCTCTTCTCATTTAGGATTCTGTTTAAGCAAAAGATTTCTTGGTAATTTGTGAGGTGAGAGAGAAACAAATCAGAACCATCCATTCCTTAAATTATCCATCATGATTGAGGGAGGAATCTAGGAACCTTATACCTGAATCTTTGACCCATATCTACTTTTAGTCAATCTAGGATATGACTAATGAGATCTTATCTTTTATTTTTACTAGAACTTCTTTTCTCTCACAACGACGTAGGAATTCATACTAAAAACGTTTGTTCAATTTTCAAAGACTTAAAATTTTTTGACCAACTAAATATATCAAGATCTTCACAACAAGTATCTTCGGGAAGATTTCCTAAACAAGTGGTAAATCTTTTTTCCTTGTAGGAGTCCATGAAATCTTGAAAAGAAGTGGGTCGTCCCGCTAATGTGGGGTATGTGACCCATGTGGGCCCCACATCCCACTTGAAGTTGATTTCCTCAGGTGTCGGTCTGGCCCTTGGCCCCCCCACATGGGTCCCACAATGGCCCACCAACTCTCCAAAATATCTGGATTGCCCTTTTTAGAGTTTTAGTGCATAAAAACATTTTTAAATTTTCTAATAAAAAGTATCCAAAAATCATAAGAGCATAAACATTTTTAAAGATTCTAATAAAAAGTATCCAAAAATCATAAGAACATAAAAGAAGTTGAAAATAATAATTTGAAGTTCTTAAAAATTCTTAAAAACTCTAAAACACTTAGAAAAACCTCTGATTGCTATCAACGGGTCAAGAAAAGAAATTGTTACGGTACCCGTGCTAGAAAACCATGTTCCACAACTATCTTCTCAAACCAACCCACAAGGCACCTGTCATGCAGATGTGCTCGTAATTGGCCTGTCAAACTCTGCTAATTAATAGTGGGACAACATTCCTAGTATGTGGATTGCAAGTTCTTTTTTTAAGAGCAAGTCACATGCACATACCGTTATATTGCATGGGGGACTTTTTCTATGCATATGTACACATATCCTTTTATAGGATTGCTTTCAATATTCGATTGTCATATATATATATGCCGTATGAAAGTTTGTTGAGGATTTGGCCATTGTTCTCACAAGTCTAGAATTTTATACAAGAGATCACGAAGCTCTTTTGGTCTACAAACTATCATTGGGCATATCCCCGACCTCAATAATGGATGACCCGCCATAAAATCTTCATAGTGGTCCTAGGGAAAAAAGGGTTTTGTGTGGGCCGTAGATCACCTAACTCTAGGTTGATCAGCTAACATACACTCCACTATGATGTACAATTCAATATATTTATTATTTTTACATGCTTTCACAGGCTTTAAAGGCCATCATCTCCCACTTGGCCTTTGAAAGCCATACAAACACTCCTCACTGTCTCTAAAGCCCATCCCATGCACATGCTTGATAAACACATTTGCCACTAATCCTTAGTCATAGGAGTTGCTAAGTGCTAACATAGCCTTTGTCGGGAGATAAGCGGCCTCTATCTCTTCTGTAAATGTGGTAATAGTCGGACTATGTGCTTGGATTTCTCGTGAAATCATGGCTCCTTAGCCGCACAAATTGCTACTTAGTTTTTGCCGAAGATCCTCACACACAGGCAATTTACTGGATCAAATCTGAGTAGAGTCATGAACTTCTTCTGAAAATATGTTTATATAGAATCCAAGGTATGAATTTAAAAATTTCTATTTTAATAATTACAATTTCTACTTATAATTACCACAATATAATGTAGAAACTAAAAAATTAACCCACTAAATGTAGAATCTTTTACTTTTACTACCAAAATATAACTTTATTCAAAGGTTGAATTGAAACCTTCAAATTCAAATTCTAATGCAAATAGAAAATATCTAATATAAATATAAATCTAAAACTTCTAATCTGAAAATAAATAAATTAGGCTGGGAAGACTTATTAAACTTTGCCTAGGGTTAGCCTTTAGGACTTAATACAGCCCACACCTGTTTCCACACTGATCGCACACTTCTTGAACCTTTGGGCCTACTGAATTCTATATGCTGAGAAGCGCCTTAGGTAATACCCTTTAAAGAATTAGGGTATGAAAACATGAAATTGGTGTAGGGATGTTCTGAAAGCTCTTAGAGTATGCCACAATGCTGCATTACCCTGCTACAACCTAGGCTGGGTGTGCTCCCTTCTTAGCCCTAGGGTTGGTGTGGCACCCTAGGATTCCTTGGGTAGTACATGCCACCCTCTAATGAAGAGAGATGAGAGAGAAATTATA